TATAATACTTTGGTTTGTCTTCCAGAGCTTCCCTTTGAAATCTTCTGTTAAGCTCTTTAACTTCCTGCTTTCTTCCCTTCCTTTTGGCTTCTTGGTGCTCCAAGAAGTACAATATTATAGTCTCTTTTGACATCCATCTCGATCTTTTCTTCCTCCTCCGTCTTTGTAATGGTCTTTTGCATTCTTTGTGGATGATTTTCTTGATATCCTCTCACAGCTCATCTGATCTTTATTCATTAGTGTTCCTGTGAAGATTTTTAAATTCAGGTAGGATATACTCAAGTCTGGAGAAGAATATTGAGGGTACCATCGACTGCTAGGAAAACAAACAGATTCATCCTGGAAAGGGTCAAACCGGGCTGCTCCTTGGAGACAAGGATTCTAAGGCTCCATCTAACATACTCTGGACATGTTGTAAGGAGGGACAGGCCCTTGGAGAGGGACATCATGCTTGGTAGGGTGGAGGGACAGCACAGAAGGGGAAGGCCCCCTATGAGGTGGATTGATTCAGTGACTGGGGTAATCGGGATGGGTGTCGGAGACGGTGAGATTGGCACAGGACAGAGCAGAGTTTAGGGATGCTGTACATAGGGTCGCTATGAGTCACAAGCGACTCGATGGCACATAACAACAACAACAACAACAACAATACTGAAGGTCAAATTTTTGTTCCTATGGATTTGATTTAACCTTCTTTAGCTTTACTTTGAACTTGCATATAAGTGGTTGATCATTGTATTGGATCACCTTTCTTGGGAATGGAAACAAATATGGATTTCTTCCAATGAGTCAGACAAGCAGCTGCCCTCTAAATTGCCTAGTATAGACTAGTAAGTGCATCCAAGGCTGCATCTGTTAGCTGAAACATGTCAATTACAACATGTATCCCATCAATTACTGTGGCCTTATTTTTTCCAATGTCTTCAGTGCAGCTTGAAATTCCTCTTTACTTTCAGCTATTGCTCACATGGCATTTCTTGAACTTTATCAGTGTCAATCAATCCTTTTTGATACAGTGATTCTCAGTATTCTTCCCATCTTATTTTGATGCTGTCTGGAGCAATCAATATTTGGCCCATAGTGTCTGTCAGTAATGACACTTGTGGCACGGATTTGTTTTCCAGTTATTTTCACTTTAGAAATGCTGAGTCAATTCTTCCCTTTTAATTCTCCAACTCCAACTCTCTGAACATTCCATAATAATAGTCTGCTTTGCTTTCTTGAGGTGCCCTTTGAAATCTTCTGTTCATCTCTTTTGCATGGGCATCTCTTCCCTTTGTTTTTACTTCTCATCCCTCTAGTGCAATGCATGATAGGAGATGATAAACTAAATTTAAAAACATATAAGCTATATTCTTGAATAATAAGCACAGAAGTTGCAGAATTACCCTGAAGGCAATGGGGAGCCATGGAAAGTTTTTGAGGTAAGGAATAATCTGATACATAATTGAGCACTTATCATATAGTGTACTGCATTTTATATTATCTATGCATGTGTACATACTATTTCCCTCCATTAGTTGGGCCTTTGATGAACAAGACCTCTCTGTCCCTCTAGCCCTTGGCATAGAGCCTGGCACATTGTGGGCTCCAGTACACATGTTTTAAATAGCTGATGATCCCGATCGTGACCTCACCATTGAGCCAGCTCTCGAAGCCTTCCCAGCCCCTTGCCCTCTCACCCTCTGACTTTGAGTCTGCCTCACACCAGAGGTCAGTACTCTGTATACACTCATGCTCTATTTCCTCATAGAAGCTCACCTGGCCTGCTAATTGTTTCTGTCTCATTTTCATCCCTTTTGATTGGATTTTTCTTTTTGGCTTTTGGCCCTTGAAACTGTGTCATTGTGGTCCAAATAAAGTTGGGTCTGTCAGAGGTTTGACCACCAAGGCCTTATCTTCTAGCCTGAGCTCTCTTGTCTACATTGTTGTCCTTATGCAGGGACCCTCCCTAAAGGGCAGCCCAGTACCCAGGAATGCTGACAGGCTTCTGCCAGCATGCGGTGGAAACTGACATATTGTAATTATCCAGAGAGATGGGAGAAAACAAAGATTAATTTTGAGTCAAAACATGTAATTTTCTTTTAAAGCCAGAAATGCTCTTTCACTTGTGCATTTTTGATGGTTGGGTGGAAAATAATACCACCCAAAAGAGGAATATTTAAATTCTCAAATCAGAGCCTTTTACCATCTGGGGGAACTCTTTTCAAAGGCTTGCTGCCCATTTTAGTGCTAAGCAGTGCTCAGAGTTTGAGACAGAGGGTGCAAACAGAGAGAAATTAAGACTAATTTAATGATTAGTACAAGAGTCCCTGGGTGGTGCAAGCAATTAAGCACTTGACTCCTAACTGAAAGTTTGACAGTTCAAATCTACTCAAGATGTACCTTGAAAGTACCAGAGATCTCCTTCCCAAGGTCACAGCCTTGGCTACTCTCTGAGGCAGGTCTACTCTGCATGCATGGGATCACCATGAGTTGGAGTTGTTGCTGTTGTTGATTGCCTCTGAGTTGAGCATGACTCATAGTGACCCTATGAACAAAAGGGCTGAAGCCCTTCTACACCGATCTACATTTATCAAAATTCATAGAGTTTCCGTGGGCATGTTGTTTAGGAAGTGGATGCCACTCCTAGAGGCCATGAAAACTGGTTGTTGTTTTGTTTTGCATCATCAAGGTTGTGAGCTTATGGAGAATTAGTTCTTCAGATCTTTTTTTTGGGGGGACAGAATTCTGAAGGCCAGGACAAAGAAGTTTCAAGAACAATTGGAACCAGGGCACTGAGAAAGCCCCTTACTATTTAGGCTCAGGTTCACATCATCTCCTCTACATTTCAAAGAAATGTCCAATGACTGATGCGGTGAAACCCAGGCTGGTTGTCAAGGGACCTAGACTGTGACCACCTGTCACTGACCTGCATTTTTTTCTTGGGGGATCTCAGTTTCCTGACATAACCCAGTATGTGGAGGGGGATTAAATAATTGTTAAAGTCTCCCTGAGTGTCAGCATCTTTTCATTGGTCTGACAGCATAACATGAGAGAAAAAAAGTCATTAAGGATCAAGATAATTTTATTCATACTGACAGAGGACCTTAAAGAGACAATCCTCCAAATTAACTTGTAAATGAGATTCAGGAATTCTTTTGAGTTTTATAAAGCTTTACAATTTTAAGAACTTTAACCAATCCAGAGTGACTTCTAAGAACCAACTGAACTCTTTTCACTAGAGATGAGCTTCTCAAATGCAGAGGTCATGCTTTAATCATCTCCTCACTTCTGCAGCCCCTCCCGAGGGACCTGGCAGAGAGAGTTATTTTTCCTAAGTGAATGAGTGACTGAATGAATGCATACATGCACGCATGCTCAGCAAGGCAGAGGCAATGCAGAGGCATGGAGAAGAAATAGGTGCGATCTTTCAGAAGAAGTTCTAATCCATAATTATGGATTAAGTACGGGCAGTGCAAAGGCTTTAGCTGATCTGTAAAAAATCTGAGATAAGGAATGAGTTAGTGCTATACTAGAAAGCAGATTCTGTGGATGTAGGCTTAGAAACAATGTGATTGACTCACAGTAACATGGAATGCGGGCTCTGAGAGCCCAACAAGAAAAGTTATGAACTTGTCCCAAACCAGAATGGGCTGGTTGAAATTTAGGACTGCAACCCACAAGCTAGCAGAGAGAGAAACATTTATCCAGCACCTTCTGGTTGCCAGTAACTGTACGAAGTTTTTATCCAATTGTCAAAAACTCTCTTTGAGTTTATTATTATTGTCTAATTGTGTAGGTTGAGTATGGTCTCAAGAGGCTAAGAAATTTGCATATGATCCCACAGCTAACATGAACCTGAGTCAGAATTTGAACCCATACTTATAGTGAGAAAGGCTTCTCGCTTGAAGTGGAACTTAGCTAGACTTCAGTAAATGAAGTTTTGGAGTCAAATCATGGCACTGTCAAAAATTCACTGACTTTCTCTGAACCTTTCTGAGTCTTCATTTTCTCATTATATAACACTTACCCAAAAGTTACTATTGTGAGAAATTTAAAGGATGGATCAGAAGTTCTCATTCAATGAATAATAAAAATAATAATATTATGGGTGCTAAGAATATTATGGGTAGGGAGCAAATAATAGCATTTCAATGCTTTAAAGCAGCAAAGCACATTAACAGGTCACAGGGAAGACCCATAGGCAGACTGGACTGAGGGAGGTAGGGAATTGGTTATCAGTGTGTCCTTCAGGGAGGCTGAACCACAAGAGGGGCGGGAGATGAGGCCAAGCACTAGGGCAGGGCTGGCCTTTTCAGAGTCCCCTGAATGCCTCTGCCCAAATGCTCGGTGGGCTCTCTGTTGTTAGACAGGAATGCCCACTGCTTTGGGTTCTGACTTACAGGAGGGATATTCACCTCATAACAATCTATCCTCATTGGCCTACCAAGAAGTTGGCCTGACTAGAAGGGGAATCAGGCCCTAGAAACAGAACTTCTTAAGGATATTTCCTCTTAGTCCAGAACCTTCATATCTTTTGCTGAGGTGGACATATGCATACCTGGCACTGTGATAGATGCTTTAGCAAGCATCTCACAGAAATTCTCAAGTGAGTGTCACTGTCTCCACTTTACAGATGAAGAAACTAAAAGCTCAGAGAAATGACAAGCCTATTCAAGATACAAATTGTAGAAGATAAACTACTAGGTGAAGATGTATATAAAAATATCAATTCTATCTCAGAACAGTGACAGAACTCAGCTTCTCAGCAATCCTCCACACGTGTAAATTCTCATGTGAGGCCCAGAACTGTGACCAGTTCTCACTGTTTGATCACACGGGATACTCTACGCTTAAAACATGTTGTTGAGCTCTTCTAATCCACAGTGTAAGGCAGGGTCAGGACTATCTTTTTCATGATAACATAAAGGAAGCTGCGGGCCAGAGAGAGGAATATGCCCTGTGCACAGAACAGTTAAGCAGGACTCAAGTCCAGCTTGCCCTCCTCTGCTACTCACCTCAGCCTTGGCATGGGGAGTGCCACTTTCTCAACCAAGGGATTCAGCCGATAATAATCCAAAAATGTTCTCGCCACGTTACGTCCCAGCTTCATATCTGCAGGCATGTGCATTAAGGATTAACTTTGACAAGAGACTGACACAGAATGAAAAGAGGACTAGTAATAAAACTAATAATAATAGCAATGAAAATAGTAACACCATTCAGGGTTTTAACTTTTTAAATAAATTGACAGTATTTTTTTATTTTCAGAAAACATCAAATGGCAAGTACTATGATTCTTCTTGTTTTACTGGTAAGGTGAGTGAGTTACAGAGAAGTTACTTGTCCCTAGGTTACAAGATCTGAAAGAGGAGAAGTTTGAGTGTGAGTTTGGATAGTTTTATCCCAAAACCCCAAAAAATTAGTGGACTTCACTCGCCTGATTTCAGGTGAATAGGGGGATGAGCAATCTCCTCCCATGTGATTAACTGCCTTTGAAAACCCACTGGAGGGTCAGCTTTGGGTTGGTTCTCACTCTATGGTACTCAGCAACAACAAGATGACCTAGTGGTAAAAAAGTGTGCTTCAATACCAAAGGCACATGGTTCAAATCCACGAGTTGCTCTTTGTGAGAATGATGGGCAATCTCCTCCCATGTCATGAAAATCTGCTGGAGGGTCAGCTATGGATCCATTCCAGTTCAAAGGCACGTAACAACAAGGTTAAAGTCAGATAACCAATACCTGTGTGGTGTTGTTGCTAGGTGCTGTCAACAATGACTCACAGCAACCTTCTGAAGAACAGATCTGAACCTTGCCCTACCCGGTGCCATCCTCATGGGATCTGACATGTTTGAGCCCATTGTTACAGTCACTGTGTCAATTCATCTTGTTAAATGCCTTCTTCTCTTTGACCCTCCACTTTTTCCAGCATGATGTCTTTGTTATTCTTGTTAGGTGCTGTTAAGTTGAATATGAATGATAGTGACATTATTTATGAACAAAAGATCTGAAACCTGTCTTGTCCTGTAGCATCCTCATACTTTCTGAAACACTCAAGCGCATTGCAGCAGCCACTGTGTCAATACAACCGGTTGAGAGTCTTCCTCTCCTTTGCCTTCCCTTTCCAAGCATGATGTCCTTCCCCAAAGAACAGCCTCTCCTAGCTACAAGCCCAAGGTATGAAAGATGAAGCTTTGCTATCCTTGACTCCAAGGCACACTCTGGCTGCATCTTCTCCAAGATATATCTGTTTGTTCTTTAGACAGTCCATGGAATATTCTGTACTCTTCAACATCACAGTTCAAAGGCATCAATTATTCTTCTATCATTGTCCAGCTCTCAGCTACATAGCAGTGATTTAAAAGATCATAGTCTTAATCAGGCACACCTTAGTCCTCAAACTACCATCATTGCTCCTCAGTAATTAGATCCCCTGACCTTCCCAATGTGATATGTCAACTGATCTCCTAACTTCTGGAATCGATTGTATTAATTGTGGATCCAAGTAAAATGAAGTCATTGACATTTTCAATCTTTTCTCCACCTTTATGATGTCTTTAGGATTTTTTTTTTTTACATAGGACCTTCCAAAGTTCAGCTATCTACTTTAGAAGCTTCAGGAACAATAGAAAAAGAAAAAAGTCTGTCCTTAAATAGTGTCCCTATTCAACAGTGATATTTTTCTAATAATGAGCTCTTAGGGCTGTGGAGTAGTTGCTACAGTTCTTATTTTTATTTTACCCTGGGCTTGGAGAGGTTTATAGCTTGTTGAAATACAAACTCACTTGGGAAGTAGAAAGAGCCAATTTCATATTGACCATTCCCACCTCAGTAAAAATTAATACTATATCTCTTTAACGATACAGAGTATCTGCTTTCTATATAATATCTTATATCTTCACATCTCTGAGCCTTCACATATGCTATTTCCTTTTCCCAAAATTCCTCCGTCTTTCCCCATCAATTCTCCAATTAGATGATACCTCTTCAGTAAAGTCGACTATGATACTCTTCTCTTCCCAAGACTCAAGATAGGTAGTATTTTTGCTCCATACCTCCATGGCTTCTGAACTGATTTCATTCAAAGCACTTATCACTTATTAGAATTAAGTGTTTACCCACCTTACCTCTTATGTCTTCCTTGACACTCACTCATTCATTAGCTCTGGACATGCAAGCTCTAACCAACACTTCTCCATAAAATCAGAAACCCCTTGAGTTTGTCCACATCTCTCCCCTCCTTGCCATTGCTCTAGAACTGGTCAGTACACTCTTGTCCCTGTTGCAATGGGCTATCCCTGCTGCAGACTTATCTGCTTGTAGTTCATTTCCTTCAGTGTGACCAGAGGGTCACTATGAGTCATACTTGACTTTACAGCACCTAACAGCAACAATCAATGAAGTTGTTCTAAAACATACAGCTGGCCATGTCACTCAGTTCAGTAAAACCTTCCAGTGGCTCTCAATTTTGCCTTCAAAGTTCAAATTTCTGACGATGATTTCTAAGACTGTTCACTGTTGAATCTCTGATTATTGTCAGTTTTTGGTAGCTACTATTACTCACTTCCTACCTCTTGCCTTTCACACTGCAGCCAGTGTGAACTTCTTTGGTCTCAAGAATTTTGCCCTTACCATTCCATTCCCCCAGCACTTTTCTCCTCCCCTCCACATGCTTTATAGGACTGCCTCCTTCACAAACGCTGGACCTCAGTTTAGCTGCCCCTTCAGGGATAGCTGTCCATGCTGTCATATGGCTCTTCTCAAGATTTTCCTGTTGCTGTTTTTTGTTTTTCTTTTTTTCAGTTCTTTACCAACAAGACCACTTCTTAAACTGTAGTATAATTCTCTCTTCTTTCTAATCACTCTTCAGAGCCTTGGTGGCATTGTGCATTACACACTGGGTTGCTGACTAAAAGATCAGTGCATAGAATTCACCAGCTGCTTCTTAAGAGAGAGGTGGACAGTCTCCTTCTGTTGATATTTAGTCTTAGAAACTGAATGGAGTGCCATGAGTCAGAATCTATTCAACAGCATTGAGTTTGTTTTGGTTTCCAGTAAGCATGTTATAAGGTAGAGACTATATCTGTCTTATTTGTCACCTACATATCCAAATACATTACTGGAAAGAAATGTAGAATAGACATATGCTGAATGGATAAATAATGATAGCTACTAATCCAGGAAGCTTTGGCGGACTAGTCCACAGAGAGGCACACTGCTAACCTAAAGGCCACGCTTCTCTACAGCTTGAATCCACCAGTAGCTCTGAGGAAGAAAGCTCCTCCTGTGTGATTTACAACCTTGAAAATCCACCGGTGGTTCAACTATGAGTTGGCTCCGATTCAAAAGCAGTGAGCTGAACTATATAAGTGACTTACATGGATTGACTTATTTAATCCTCACAACTGTTCAAATAAGAGATATAGATTATTAAGCCACTATATAAAGAGAGCTGGACAATGGCGAGGATGATAGAAGAAGAACTGATCCCTTTGAGCTGTGGTGCTGGAGAAGAGTGTTGAATCATGGACTGCTAGGAAAACAAACAGGTTCATCCTGGGAGGGTGAAACCAGGCAGCTTCTTGGAGGCAAGGATTCTGGGGCTTTGTCTGACATACTTTGGGCATGTTGCCAGGAGGGACCAGGACTTGGAGAGGAACATGACACTTGGGAGGGTGGAGGAACAGCATAGGAGAGAAAGACCCTCAATGGAATGGATTGATTCAGTGACTGGAGTAATGAGGGGTAGGTGTGTCAGAGACAGCGAGGTGGGCTCAGGATACAGCAGGGCTCAGAGCTGTTGTACACAGGGTCTCAATGAGTCAGAGTCCATGTGGCACATAACAACAACAACATGGAGAGGGAAATCTCATGGCCTAGTGGATAAAGAGTTGCACTGACAACCAAAGGCAGGCAGTTTGAGTACCAGTTGTGACATGGGAGAAAGAATGGCCAATTGTGTGATTTACAGCTTCCAAAAATCCAGTGAAAGGCCAGCCATCCTGGGTTTTGACTTGACAGTATTGTAGGGCTTTTGCTCTTTATTTGTGGGTTTGGTTTTTTGTTTGGTTTTTTTTGTCTTGTTTTTGTTTGTTTTTTTTTTTAAAGTAAATCTACTTTATTTAAAATGCACTTTGCTGCTTTGGTGAAAGTAGACTAAAGTTAAACTGTTGTCAGTCCCAAACATAGAAAAGTATGGTATTTATCCATTCTATGTTGGCTAGCTGGGGGTAGTCAGCAGTTTCAAGGGCCTGGGGCCATTTTCCATTATTTCAGCACTAGTTGAGTAAGTCATAAAACCGTGATGAGGGGTAAACATTAATCAGATTATTCACTATTTCCTGGAACACAGACATATTCAGGTAACGTCAGAAGGCGAGCAAAATGGAATAGGTTTGGTTTCAACCTTATAGCCCCAACAAAAAGAAAGGTGGAAAGGAGAGAATACCTTCTAAAAACTACTTCCTTCAGAAATGGGGTAAAGCCAGGGGAGAGGATCTTATGTTATAGGGGGCTTGGGTGGAATTGGCTGATACTGAAAGTTAACAGGAACTGTCCCATGGTCCAATGGTTTGTTAAGGTTTCTATTTGATGGGTCAGGAAGTGGTGCCAAGAGGCTCAAGGCCTGGAGTTCAATTGCTTCTGAACTGTAGTAAGGAGATTTCTGGGTAAGAAGACTTCCCCCTTGATGGGCCACTTGATGAAAGGTCTAAACTCACTCGTAAGTCCAGAAGCAACATTAGTCAAATGTATAGCAAATACGCTTTATTAAAAATTAACTCTTTAAAAAAATTAACTCTTTGATCAAAGTGGACTGAGGTTCAATTGGTGTCAGCTGATAATGAGGCTTTTTGAGAGTACAGAGAGAGTAAAATATTTCCTTCAGGATTGGAAAGCTAAGTTATGGGTCTGAGATTTGAACCCAAGGAATCTTGGTGGGACAATGGTGCGGCTAAGTCAAAGGCAGATGAGTCAAATGTATATCATGACTGTGCATGATCAGTTCCCATAGGAGAAAATACCTAGAAACCTTATGTGTCAGTTCTACTTTAATATATAGGGTCACTGTGAGTGGAAACTAACTCAATAACATGTAACAATAACTCCAGTTCC